GGGGGGTGCGTGTGGGTGTGTGTGTGCGCGCCCTTACGCATGGCGTGTACGACATTGTGTTAATGCACAGATATACAAAACATATAAGGGGACGGACTTCTGCATCATGTCACAAATTCATGGTTTCAATAATCTCTCATGGATATATATTCAAGCAATATCCCTAAGGCCTTCCCGGATGCATACAGTTGTCTGAAATAGAGTGGGCGAAAGTGTCGCAAAAAATAAAATGAAATAAAATGCTTTACATACATACTTTTTTTTTTTTTTTTTTTGCGACAGTCACACCATGCAAAAAAGAAAAAAAGAAAAAAAATGCACAACCACACCTTGCAAACCACAATATAAGAAAAAAAAGAAAAAAAATGCGTTTACGTATATACACGTTGAATCATCTGAAACACAAACATATAAGTTCAGTTACGTAGATTATTTACATACTCGTCAGTGAGTCATCACATTGACAATCAAAACATCTTCCAGGGAGTTTTGTTTGACGATATGTAACGATATAATGAGTATATAATTAATGTGCAGTTTTGTCTATTGAAACCGCATTCACCTGTTCGCAGTAGCGATTACAGATCCCACAGCTCGATCCCTAGACTTCACCTTACTTGTGTACATTACCTGTGTCGACCGCAGGAGTCGAACCCACGACCTGTGTCTGCTCCCACAGTTGGGAGACTGTCGTAGGGTCTGTAGATGATAGGGGTTCGATCTGCAGACATGTAGCATAGTGGTCTTAAGGAGTTATAGTAGTCGTAGCTGTAGGACCTCTGAAAGGTAAAGGTCGTAGCTGCTACAGTATCCGAAAGGCCAGAGTTGAAACTTCCAGAAGGTCCTGGTACTGGCCTTTTGAAGCTGCTCACGTTTAGGCTGAGGCAAGTGGGCAAGTGGTGGAGTCTACCCATGTTGAGTCAGCGGTCCCAGTCCCAGTCAGTCCTACTCCAGTCAAGCAAGTCCTACACCATGGGCATGGGAAAGGGCCAGACCAATGAGCCACAAAAGTATAAATCAAGAGGCAGCGCCCAGCCATTCATTCATTCCTCCGTAAGCCATGCGGAAGTGCTGCCACAGCGACTTGTGCGAGGTGGTCTGCAGTGAGCCCGAAGACGAAGGGGGCGAGAAGAAGAGCTTAGCCATAGTGATAGGGTAGCAACGACCATAGCTGCCATAGCTGTTAGGAGAGTGTAATGTGTGTGTGTGTATGTGTGTACAGAGTGTCGCGTGTGGGATATCCACGATGATCCCGTGTGTGAACAGCAACGTTAAGTGAGTGACGAACAAAGATTTGTACAGGCGCTGATGCGCCATCGCCATTTGAAGTGAACTTGTATTTGAACTGCGTTCTTGATTACTATATCTCTGATTTTTGAGTAGGCGCTTGTCGCCAGTTTGCTGGGTTACCTATTTACATGCATGCGAAGTGTGAATGAAAGCGAGTCTGATTGCAATATAATTTACTGCTATAACGATCAATATCTAATCTAAAGTGTCTCCCTAAAAAATTGATCCGGTTTATAATTAATGCCGGTGTCATTAAACATGCCCTAATGTTGTAGGCGAAGGTGCATAGCGCATTGTACAATCACGTTTCAGAACTTGATGCACCTAAATGCATTTTCAAACTGTTTTCGTGAATTCACCAAAGCTACCTAAAAAAACAAAACATACATACAAACAAAGATAAGTTGCTCTTATCTTTCCTATGCCAAACCCCGCGTCATGCTACTCAGACACTGACCTCGATAAGATATATAGACATGAAAATATTATCATATGACATGCGTTGAAAGGACTACAACATTAAATGTTATCGAAGTACATACGGACGGGATCAACACACACGGGGTACTTGTTCTCAGCGGATTTAGATGGTTTTGGTTTATCAACTCAAACAACTTGAAGAGTAACAACAGACCAACACTTTGGCCCTGCATGAGCGTAGCGACTTCCATACACCAGAATGCAAATCAAAAGTACAACACTCCTTCTAGAGTCAATATCCTCGTAAAGCACTATGTGTGTACATGGAAACACAATCTCTCTCTCTCTCTCTCTCTCTCTCTCTCTCTCTCTCTCTCTCTCTCTCTCTCTCTCTCTCT